GGAACGGGGCCCTCGACTGAAAAGCCACATTCATGCTTAGCTCAACAAGAGCAATGCAAAGCGTTGATGCAGTGGTGTAATGCATGCCACCACTGGGCCTTGGCCTGGGCCTTGAAGTGAAAATCTATGCCTCTCTATCTGGAAATCCAGTTGATGAGTCTCTGTTTGGTAGTTGCTAGAATAATTGAACCTTGTCGAGAGTAAAGTTTGGTGGATTGTCTGACCTTGAGCCCTTAGTTCCAGTGGGGACAGCTTGGGATGGTCCCTTCCTAATCCAACATGATTGTTCACCAACGCACAAGGAAAAGTCCAGAAAGACATGGATGGAAAAGTTTGGTGTCCTCAATCTGTAAGTCAGGCCGTCTCATCCATCGTCATAAACATGAGGTCAGACATTGACCTCCCAAAAGATTTGACTCTGTTAAAGCAGGATAGTGTGGCTACGTTTTAACCCTAAGAATTAAGAATGATTAAGAATACTCTTGGCAACACCGTGCAATTACGAACTTCTTCCATCTGTTTTTAGGATAAGAAAAGCTTCCTGGCAGCTGGTCAGCAGTGTGCAGCAGCACTGCCACTCTATTCTCTCTAATTATCATACCATTTGCTACAATCTGAAAGCAACTCTTGCTTGTGTGTGACTCTCAGTGCTGTAGGTGACATCCAGCATGCAAGTCTTGCTTTGTGGTTTGCCCAAACACTTGACAGAGTCTTGCTTGATTTCTGTCTTCGTCACACTTGTCTGGTTGGTAGAAAGGGGGACTGTAACGCACAGGAAGTGGTAGGTTTGGATTTGAAACGGTGGTATGTAAAATATGTGCTAGTGGCATGTTTGTACCCAGAGTCTCCATCCAGTTAGTCGGTGTTGCTGAGAAACTAAATATCACAGGCAATAATACTGACAAGTCGCCACAGTATGCAAGACGGCCACAGGGCGGCTTTAAAATGACAGGCCAGCCGCTGGGCGATGAAACATTACTTTTGTCTATGTTTTGTTCTTTCTGCTGTCAACGATTTGGAAGACAAACATATTTTAGAGGAAGCTTTGCTACTTTTCTTTGGTTTTATCCAAATGAAAACATTTCGGTAGACTCATCATTCAACCCCATGTGACATAAATTACTGTCTACTTTAGAGCTTGATTATAATATGGTGGACCGCTTGTTCGTCCTCTTGATGTTGCTTTTCTGTCCATGTCTGTCTCCATCTATGAGTCGTGCCGGTAAGGGAAGGGAAAGGGAACATTCTTACAGCGGGAGAGTCTGCTTTGTTTCCTCGCTTTATTGATGGTGTGAACTGTTGAAATATTAACTGTTCTTGAGAATGCAGTTTACACAGGAAGCTTTTACTGTTAATATTTCACTGAGATTAGGTTTTAGGATACCTTAAACCAGTGGTCCCCAAACTTTTTCCTGTGAGGGCCACATAACTTTTCCCTTCTCTGGTGGGGGGCCGGAAATTGTTAAAGGGGGGTTTCTCGATTGATTTTTACCCAGAAAGCACATGGGCAAAAACCATGAGTGAAACGGTCACTGGGACTAATTAGTATATATTCCATTGAGGGAAAGTAACTTTAACTTATTAATTACTCATATATTAACATAAAGGCTCGTTTTGAAGTATAAGTTGCTACTTACAGGCATCACTTCGAAGAATTCAACCTGGAATGCAGCGTTCATAACAGACACGTGTGTTCATCTGCTCTACTGCTAGCAAACAACCGTACTGATTAAATAACATAAAAGTCAAGCAGTTCCCTAAAAGTCCAACAGATGGCAGCAATGCGCCACGCAAAACAAAACACCCACAGTTCACAGGACACACTTCCTGCTAAAGAGCCCCCTGGTGGTTGAAGAAAAATCCACATATAAACCGGAAAATACAATAAATGAAAAAAAAAATCTGAATGCTCTCTGATATTGTTCAGGGGGCCGGACCAAATGTGGAGGCGGGCCACATCTGGCCCGCGGGCCATAGTTTGGGGACCCCTGCCTTAAACGATTTAAACTATAAACATTTTGTTGGTGCCACTTGGTGCGCAGGAATGTCAAATTTGCCTTTTGTTACAACTGAACCATGAAAAAGCAAGACTCTTAATTTGGAAAGCGGCAATGAGCTTTATTTTGAAAGCTTTGGTTCACTGGTACTCTGGAAACTCCACGTAATACATAGGATTTTATTTTGAAATGCCAAACCAACTCATATTTCCATTTCACTGGCTCAATTAAAATGGTAAAAAAAAAAAGTTAGGCTTTTATTGTGAAATGTTGGCATTAGTTCTGTTTATAATGTGGAACCTAAATTTGCAACGATCTAACCGGTCAAATATGGAGTCTTTTACTTTGAAGATCATCTGCAAAAAAATTTGTGTTAAACTTCCAGCATGGTTACTTTTACCGTCGCTGGTTTAGTTCTATCTGCAAACTTTATTTTGGAAGTCTTTAATTACTCATTAAGTTAATTGCTGGTTTTGGCCCATTAGGAATTTAGATCCTTCTTT